TATGTTGTAATTTAATTATTTTAAACATTATTATTTTAAAGTTTTTTTTTGTTTGTTTTTTTTTACCATAATGAGAGTGTGGGCCGTAAAAAATATGTCATTAAAATAATAGGTAAAAAAACTCTTTTAGAAGATTAAAGTTTCTTTCAGAAATTAAAATAATTGGTAAAAATATAAATGATCCTAAAAATTGCACTCAAATTGCTGTGAATCAAAGTGAATCCAGAAGGTTTCCATCAGCAATTAATGAGGTTTGTGCACTGCCTGCTCCAGCTCTAACATCGTTCAGTTGTTCCAGCACTAATTAAAGGTCATTTAAAGGTGAATTTAGAGATTATGATCACATGACGGCTGACTGAATGATTCGTACCGGTGCGGTGGCGCAGGGGCTCATGGGTAACGTCGCTGCGGCTCACCAGCGTGCTCCTGTTGACTGTGGCCTCTGAGACCAGCTGGAAGCTGATGTTGGTGTAACACGTGCCCGACAGCCAGTGCTTGAACACCGTCTTCCCTTTGAGGAAATCTGCAGAGACACAGAGAGAGAGTCCAAGTTCAGCTGTGACAAACACACACACACGTAACACATGTGTAACACACAGAAACACACGTAACGCGCGTAATACACAGAAACACACGTGTAACAAAATTGTGTAACACACAGAAACACACGTAACAAACGTGTAACACACATAAACACACAACACATATAAACACACATGCATAACGCGTAATACACAGAAACACACGTGAAACACAAACATGTGACACACACACAGAAACACAAACGCATAACATGCAGAAACACACACACGTAACACATAAACACACATGCATAACACGCGTAATACACAGAAACACACGTGTAACACAAACATGTGACACACACACAGAAACACAAACGCGTAACATGCAGAAACACACATGCATAATGCGCGTAATACACAGAAACACACGTGTAACAAAATTGTGTAACACACGCATAACGTGCAGAAACACACGCGTAACAATGGAAACACACACATAACACACACGCATAACACACAAAGAAACACACATGCATAACACCCATAATACACAGAAACACACATGTAACACAAATGTGTAACACACACATAAACACAAATGCGTAACACACAGAAACACACACACGTTACACACACATAGAAACACACATACATAATGCACATAATACACAGAAACACATAACGTGTGCAATACACAGAAACACACAGTTAACACAAATGTGTAACACACAGAAACACAAGCGCGTAACACGCAGAAACACACATGCATAACACGCATAATACACAGAAACACACATGCGTAACACACAGAAACACACATGCGTAACGCGTGTAAAACACAGAAACACACATGTAACAAACGTGTAACACACATAGAAACAGATGCGTAGCACACATAACACGCAGAAACACACACATGTAACAGAAACACATGCAGAAACACACATAACACGCAGAAACACACAAATGTAACACATAAAAACACACAGGCATAACACACGCAGAAGCACAAACACGTAACACACACATAACAACCGGCACCTTTATACAGCATGTAGCGTGGCTGTCGGCCCTCCATGTAGCTGATGTTTACTCTCGTGTAGATGTTCCTGTCAGGAGAACGGATCTGAAACACCACGCCGGTCTCTGGAGCCGGACTGTAATCAGACATCTCAATGCTGTCTAGAGGAAGAGGCTCTGAAAACACACACACACACACACACACACATACACAGTTCACTGATATATCACACTGGAGAAACAGGAGACTGAAAAATCAATGGCATTTTGTTGTAACGAGGATAAAGGCACTCTGTTCTGACTTAAAACTGTTACTGAAAACATAATTGTTTAAAATAAAAGTGGACAGTCTGACTAAAACACTGCTATACCATGATGTAAGTCATTTTATACCATAGTAACAGTATCACAACATAGCTGATTCTTGCTTGGAATTTAACTTTTTTTAATTAATTGATTAATTAAAGCTTATGCAAATTTTTAAATATGAAATGCGTATTTTTTATTTATTAAGTAATTTATAAATATTTTATTTTTTATAAATTATTTATTACTGCAAACTGTTTTATTATTTATTATATTTAATGTATTAATATATTTTCATGTATTATATTATAATATATGTAATATATTAATTATTTCTATTTATTTATTTAAACATGTGTTGTTCATAACGTACTACTGCCTATTTTAATTTTTTATTAGTGTAATATTTTATTTTCATTTATTATTATCTTCTTGCCTATTTTAATTTATTATTTTTATTTAATTATGTATTTATAAATGTTTTATTTTATTTATTATTTCTGCCTATTTTAATTAATTTTTCATTTTTATTAATTAATTTATCAATACTTTATTTTCATTTATTAATTATTCCTGCCTTTTTTAATTTACTATTTTTATTTAATAATGTATTTATAAATGTTTTATTTTATTTATTATTTCTGCCTATTTTAATTATTTTTTTCATTTTTATTAATTAATTTATCAATACTTTATTTTCATTTATTAATTATTCCAGCCTATTTTCATTTATTATTTTTATTAATTTATCTATAAATGTTTTATTTTTTATTATTTACTACTGCCTATTTTAATTTATTTATTATTTTAATTGAATAATTTATTTATAAATGTCTTAATTAGATTTATTAATGACTACTGCCTATTTAATCTAACTTATTTATTTATTTTTAATTTCTTTCATTATAAATGTTTTATATTTTGATGCATTAATTTCACACATGTGTAGCAGATGACTGTCTTACTGGTGAGCACAGGGACGGTTCTGACGGCTCTGGATGCGCGGCTGTCGTTCCCGAGCATCAGACTGATGGAGTAGCACAGGCCGTGGTACGAGGCGTTGAACTGGAGCGGATGCGGCAGCGTCTGACCGTCGGCGGGTCGCGTGAATAGCAGCGTGTGCGTGTGCGGCTCTCCGGAAACACGCACCGAATACACGGATGCATCAGGCCTCACGTCATCAGCGTCCAGCGACAGCAGCATCCGGTGGTCATCCTGCAAAGCCACCTGGAACGGAGCCCCACGCTGAGAGGAACAGGAAGAAGCGCACATCGATCAACAATCAATCAATGCAAACCACATCATCATGACCGCATTAATAATGAACGGAAAGACGGGTAAAGGGAATCGAACACATAAACAAACAATCACAAATGACATTCAAGAGCAGCAGCACCACAGATCCGGACCGGCTCTCAGAAATGCCATGAGTTTGATAAAGATTTATAGATTTTCTCCCAAAATGAGCACAGAAACCCTGTGAAGATCCTCCTGCAGAAACAACGAGCAGCGTAATATTGCTGTTATCATCTGTGTCTGAAGATTCAATATGAGATGAAGAGACTCAAAGACATATGAGAAGAGCTGCATTATTACCTGTGTGTGTGTGTGTGTGTGTGCGCGTGTGTGATTGTGTGTGTGTGTGTGCGTGATTGTGTGTGCGTGCGTGAGTGCGTGCGTGTGTGTGATTGTGTGTGTGTGTGCGTGTGTGCGTGTGTGTGTGTGTGTTTAATTGTGTGTGTGTGTGGTGTCCAAGAGAGTCCCACCCACGACACCGTATGCATCATACACCACAAACAGTGCACAAACAAACACATGCATGTGAATGCAAGGAGACAGATGTGTGGAAAAGGTTCTGCTCAAGAGGAGCTGAATGTATATAGCTATACAGATGTTGTGCAACAGTGCAAACAAAGACTGCTACTACGGTTCTGAAGAAAGACGCAAGGATATTGTGTTCATATGGCGTTCTTGACTGGCTGCAGAAAGAATTAAGTAATGGCAGATTTAGGCTGGGAGAAAAAAGGTCAGTGCGCATATGAGGATGTTTCTAAGGTTTGGGTGTGTGTGTGTGAGTGTGTGTGTGCGTGTGCGTGTGCGTGTGTGTGCGTGTGCGTGTGCGTGTGCGTGTGTGTGTGTGTGTGTGTGTGATTGAGTGTGTGTGTTAATTTAACATCAGTGACATACTATAGTAGTTTTGGTTAATATCAGATGTGTTTTATCAGAATTGTGACCAAACATTTAGAGATATAAACTCGGAATTGCAAGAAAAAAATTACAATTTAGAAATTCTAAGATCAAAATTAGCAATTGCATTTTTTTATACTTTTATTCTATGACAGCAACAGCTTCCATCATTTTTATATTTTCTGTTTTCATTTGAGTTTTAGTTGAAGTTTTAGTAATTTTGTTGATCATTTGTATTCATTTTTGTTATAAAGCTGTTTTTTCTTTGCGGTGTTTTGTATTATTTAGTCATCATGAATCTGACGTGACCGAGTGTTGTTTTGTCTTTGCTAACATGTTTGAGGTCAGACAGACGACTGATGGAAATAAAAGCACTGGATGGAGATGAAGATTACGTGCAGCTTTTAGACCAATCAGAGCTCAGTATGCAAATGAGCCTGACTGACTGTTACATTTGAAACGACGAAGATTCCATCAGTGGAAATCAGAGCAGATTCAAACTAGGGATAAGCGATACCAATTATTTAGTTTTCCGATACAATACCGATACTTTTAAAGGCCAATATCATCGATACCGATACCGATACGATACTCCTAAACTACAAATACTATGATTGGTTAAATAAACAAAATCTCTGGTAAATAAAGGTATTTTTTATTTGAGTATTGATACTTTCGATACTCGATACTTCAGGATCGATACACTCATCCCTAATTCAAACCTATCAGTAACTATCAGTAAAAACAGAATAGATCAATAAACCACAATCTGAATGCAGTCTAGGCTGGTAAGGGTTAGTTAGGGGGAGTTACGTGTTTAGAACAGAATGCCGTCACACTTTATACAATATTTACTTTACATTCACCGTCAGTAAAAGCAGCAGTTTATGATGCACTGACATACTACTTTTATTACTAGAAAAAAAGTTCATACATATACATACAGTATATATGAAATGTTGTTTCTTAAGTAAATTAAGAAATTTTATTTGTATGTATTTTTCCTGAAGAATCATCACTAACACTCTTTATCTTAAAGAACAGAATAAAAAATATTTTATATAGCCTATCCTAAAGCAGGTTGGAGTTCAGAGATATATCATTATAAATCTCTCTAAAACCGTCCAAAAAAATAAAATGACAGAAATCTGTTTAAAACCCAAATTAATTTCATGTTAAACTGATTCAATCTGACAGCTTATGAAGTGAATCAACACTGAACTGAATCGTTCTGAATAATGACTCTATTGTCTTCTTAGTGCTGCTTTAAATTGGTTTCATAATTGATCAATTTTTCAACATTAGCAGTTATTTTCTTTATTTTTACTATCTGAAGCTGCTTTGAAACAATCTGTATTGTATAAAGCGATATTAACTGAAAAAAAGAATCTTCTACTTGAGATGTTTAATTTAATAATTTGTTATTATTAAGTTAAAAATGTTTCTGTAGCAACGTTTTAGTGCAGAAATAAATTAATATTTAACAAATAATATAGGACTTCACTTCTTATTCAATCTGACAGCTTATGAAGTGAATCAACACTGAACTGAATCGTTCTGAATAATGACTCTATTGTCTTCTTAGTGCTGCTTTAAATTGGTTTCATAATTGATCAATTTTTCAACATTAGCAGTTATTTTCTTTATTTTTACTATCTGAAGCTGCTTTGAAACAATCTGTATTGTATAAAGCGATATTAACTGAAAAAAAGAATCTTCTACTTGAGATGTTTAATTTAATAATTTGTTATTATTAAGTTAAAAATGTTTCTGTAGCAACGTTTTAGTGCAGAAATAAATTAATATTTAACAAATAATATAGGACTTCACTTAAAATATCAGAAACAAATCACAGATTTAATCGGAGACTCATTTTCTTTACCCATTAAAAAGACATTAAAATCTATAAAAATGCTAACTCTTGAACTTTTGAACAAGAGCATATTAAATAATATTTTTATATTATAAAAAAACCTTTAAATATTAAAAAATAATAATATCATTTTTTATATTAATTGATATTTAAAATATTAAATTGTAAATGTATTTATTATTTAGAAATCAAATTTAAATGTTTTTAAACGTCATCTGTTTTAATTATGAGACTCATTTTCTTTACCTGTAAGACATTAAAATATATTAAAATTGATATTTAAAATATTAATATAAAATTTTACATATTTTTATTATTTAAAAATAATATATAAATGTTTTTTAATGTTTTAAATAATTTGACATGGGGGAAAAAGCAAACACACACACACACACACATACAAAAACATAATAATTCTAAAAATAGACCAAATATGATTTCTTATTTCATTCTTTTGCGGTTTTGCAGGTTTTCTATGAAAATTCCGTTTAGGAACAGTTTGTTTTTTTCTAAAAAAAATAAAAAAATAAACAATTCTAACGCCGAACTTTTGAACAAGTGTGTATTAAAAATATTTTGATTTTAAAATAATATTATCTAAATAATATTCAAACATGTTGTGTTTTAAAATAATATTTTGGTTGAAATTTTGTCATGCATAAAACTAATTTCTACTGATTTTGGAATTTTCAGGAACATTAGACGTGTGTCTAAATGTGATGCATTTATAAACAAGACTCGTTTTGAGAAGAGAACCTCGGGAAAGAGACAGAAGACAAAACAAGACGCACGTCACACTCGAGGAGCATTGAAGATGCTGAGGAATCTCTGTCAGATAATGTCACAGCAGAGGCCTTTCAGTGCTCCGATGAATGAAGGTCAGCGACTGAATGAGGAGCGCAGCTGCTGACATTATCATGCAAACGGAGGACTCAGAGACACAACTTCTCGCTCAGAAAGAGCAGCAGGAGCACAGTCTGATGATGAAGATGAAGATGAAGCTAAAGCGCTGGATTATCGCTCTGTAATCCATCAGAAAGTGAAGGCGCTGCAATAATCTTGCTTTTAATCGCTGAACCCACAGGACTTTTGTGTTCCAGAGAGACAAAGGTCTCCAGATTAACGGCCACAATAAACCCATTTGTGCTTTACAGTCTTACAAATAAAGGTTCTTTATTAACATTCATGAATCCATTAAAGGAGTGTTTTTTTAGATGATTAAAATGTTCTTTACACTTAGAAAATAAATGTTATTTTAAGAACTACGATCACTGAGAGCTTCTTTGTAGAATCAGAACCATTTAAGTTCCCTAAAAACTGTTTTTAACCCTCATAACACATTCATTTATCTACTTATTATTATTATTATTATTCAGATTTTTTACAGTTATTTTTAAAGAGATATTAACCATTTAAAATGTTTCGGTCATTGTGGCCTTGGTTTGTATGGAGATCCATTAGTGCCAAAAATACTTTCTGTTAAATGATCTATGGAGCTATATTAGTGTCAAAAACGTTTGTGAAATATATTTCAGCTTTTCCCTATATCTCACACACGTTTGGACGGAATTTTGTTGATGAACATGAATATGTACATCTATTGCAGCATACATTTTTTTCTATCACTTTTTCATCAGAAAGTGAACGTTTGTGCAAGTAAAATGAATTTGTGTTGTTTGACAATTTTCAGAGTAATATTTATGTTTTTGTGTTAGAAATAACTGTAGGTTTGATCAATTTGGACTGTTTTTGAGCAATCATGAGTTATAAAGTCAAAGGAATTCATTCATTCCATTGTGTTTAACATTTGTAATTCTCAAATAATTTGTTCTTATAAATTAAAATAAAATTTCATATATATATATATATATATACATTTTATAATATGTAATTTCTCAATTGGTAAAAGGAGTAAATACAGTAATAATGTGGTAATAACATGGTAACATTCAAAAATTCCACATGAATTCCACAAGTTGCTGATCAGATAAAATGTTTTTAATTTATGACTGTTTCATAAAATAACGATTCTTGTGAAATGTGAAAATAGTAAGCAGATTTTGAATGCATTTTGAGCAATTTTTCTTACTGCAAAGAACATTTTAAAAATCTGAGGAAGCTTTTTCCACTATAAAGACCCTTTCGATCAAAGGAAGGGTTTCATGGATGTTCAAGCCAATAATGG